CGCACAGCGCCAACTAAACAAATAATTTTAATTATGCTAAAACATAATATAACAGGTTACATTTATTTTAAGGTATTTAACTATATTTTGTACCCTTGGCTTCTTTACTACTTTTATTTCTGTATGAAAGAGAATACTGTTAACTCATACTAAACTACATCTACATATATCTATTACTATCTACTTATGTCTCTCTCTTTCTCTCTCTCTCTCTACAACAGATTAAAAATGGAGGTTTTATTCTATTAGGAATTAGGAATTGCATTTTTTTTATTTATTTCATTACTTTATTTCATTACTAACATTTTGTAATTTCAATTGCAAATATCAACATTTAAATTATTTTTCCTGTGACAATTTTTTTCAACTTATTCTCCTCTAAATTAGATAGCTTGAAAATATATAGCTTATAGCGTGTCGGAATTGTAGGGCTTTATAGTAAAAAAATACTATGATTGCTGACATCCTAGTCGAATAATTGTGTGTTTACAAACACAAGTAACAAATGTTTATTTTTATACTATCAAGCATTTGTTATTTCTTTCCCTCTCTCTCTCCCCTTTCCTCTTACATTCTCCCTTTTCTTGTGACTACATAAAAATATTTGACTAACCTGGTCAATCATCAGGTACGGCATCTTGGAAGGCATTTTCGATGGCGATAAGTTGTCATAATCTTCTAGAAGTGGGGGCAGAAGATGAGGAGCCTCCTCGCGGCGAGCTTCTACTATCTATAAAAGAAATATCTTCTAAGTAACCATTTATTTAAGACCTATTGTCTCTTAGTAGGTTGTATAAGTACAGAGTTCTTTTGAAAATGGTAAAAGGTCTATTGATCCTAGAACTGGTTCTAGTTAGTTCATACTTGTTTAATAGGGGTCTTTCTAAATTGGTCAATGTTGAAGAACCATTTATGTATGAGCTGTTTTTAGTTACTAAAGTCTACTAATTCGGGGTTCTAGTGTGATTGGTACTTCTGCAGTGTTCATAGAAAGTTATCCATTAATTCAATATCTATTTTATCGAAAATGGTTTTAACGAACAGCCAATTTTGCAAGACCTGCTGTTCATATGTAAGTACTGCTTGTACATGGATCTCTCTAGAGCGGTCTTCTCGATAGGCCATTTATACAAGGCCTGCGGGTTCATACTAAAGTCTACTATTCGAAGATTCTAGAATATTTGGGACCGCAGTACATATAACAACAGTGTACCCATTAACCCAAGAACCATTGAGTAAGAAGATATATGAATACATAGTTCTTCTTAAAGTGGTGATGCCTGTACAAGACCTTTCATTACCTATTAAAATCTATTATTTCAGGGTTCTATTATACTGGTTACCTTGGATACGTAGTCTTTGAGTGCTGGCAACACTAACACATGCGCTGGTAAAGCGCATAGTGACAATGCTACCGCGTGCAGCCGGCATTGCTGTGCGGTTGACAACACTGGGTTGTTTAATGCTGACTGCTGGATACTGGAAATAATTAAATAATTATTGAAAAAAAATATACTTGAGGGCGCTACAATCGACAAAATTTGATGTTTTTCCGCAATATGAAGGATTTTATATTTCTGGTCACCCTAGCGTAGTTACTAGAGATGGTAGAAAGATAAAGAGAGGGGAAAGAGAGGCAGTTTCTTTAAAATATTTTTTTATTAAATATAAGATATTTAAAGTTCTAGTTATCTATTATTCGAATGAAAACCTTATTTATTAAACGCTAACATTTCGAATTTAATATTATAAATGCGAAAGCTTAGATGAATGTTTGAGTTTGTAGCTTAAAAGTTGAATGGATCTTGATGAAATTTGGCATAGATGTGGAGGATAGGAAGAACACTAGTTAATTTTTTTTTAATATCACGCGAACATAATTGCGACCGAAAAAAACTTAATTACTTCTAGACTTAGTTCACTGAGATCCGTTATGCAATTCTGTAACATAGTAACATCCATCCATCCATACTAGCTTTTGCCCGCAACTCCGTGGCCGTGGAATTAAAAAAAAAAACAAACTAATTAGCCTATGTGTTCTTACAGACTATCCTCTACATCCATACCAAATTTCATCGAGATCCGTACAGCCGTTTAGGCTACAAACTCTAACAAACATCCATCCTCAAAACCGACCCCTTTAATTTATAAAAAAAACCTTACGCCAGTATCAGCTGCAGCATATCCGGCACCGTCTCCTCCGCCGCCAGCTCCACGCAGAGTAAAGACAATGTGGTGTAGATAGCCTCCACATTCTCCACCGTGTTCGACTCTAACTGGAGACCTGAAGATAATTACATCTAGATTTAATATTTTAGCGCCTGCGTCCAGAAAAAAACGCTTTTTATTAATAGTTCCTAAACATTAGTAATAATAAAATGTAGCCTATGTTACTCACAGATAAATCACCTTGCTAATGGTAAAAGAATTTTAAAATCAACCCAGTAGTTTTTGAGTTATTTCAATACGTACAAAAATACTAAAATACAAATCTTTCCTCTTTATAATATTAGCATAGATAGCTTTGGCCCGCGGCTCCCTCAGCGTGGAATTAAAAAAAAAAACAAAAGTAAGTAACCTAGTGTTCTTCCAGACTGTCCTCTACATCTATGCAAAATATCGAAATCCATTCAGCAGTTTAGGCTACAAACTCTAACATCCATCTAAACTTGCGAATGTATAATATTAGTTTGACTAGTTGTTGCTAGCGACTTTGCCTACATGAATTAAGTTGAAGCGCCAATAGCCTAATGTTTTGGGGTACGGACTACCGATGTTGCGGTCGAGAGTTCGAATCCCGCCATTCGACTATTGTCGTGAACTGTAATCCTTATGCTAACAAGTCCGGAGCTTAGTTAGAGTAGTTAAAGGAAATATTAATAAATTATCAAAAATCTACTAATAATTTTATATTAAAAAAAAATGAAATCGGTCCAGTTTTTACGTTATTTCAATACGTATAAAAATACAAATATTTCCTCTTCATAATAATATAGATAAAGTCGAACATCACAATACAAAATTTTTAAAAACAGATGTTTATACATGATGATTGTTAATCGACGGATTTGATTACTTGAGATAGTACCTTCAGCTAAAGGATGTTCCAAGATTTTCTGTAATTATTATAGTTACCTTACCCGTTACTAATAACTTTTTTCCGTCCGATTCGTCAAGGAAGAATCATCCTGTATACTAGTTAGAATAAAAAAAAACTCAAATAAACCTCTCTTACTTATTTTCCATGCAAACTTTAATCAAAGACACAGTAACAAATTATTTGTATAATTCAAAATAATTTATGTATCCTTACCATCATATAAGGAGCTGAAGATGGCATATCCATGCTTGCTGATGAAGATCAGATCAGGTCGGGAACATTTCTCCACGGTCAGGCCTAGTTCCGCATAATCCACACTGAAAATTAAAAATATACTGGTAAAATATACAAGGTTTTATCATTGACAGCATATAAAGTATACAATACAGAAAAAATAGTATACAGTAAGTCGGGAATATTGACATTTTTTTTTATAACATAAGTTGGCAAACGAGCAAGCGGCCACCTGAATCCACAGAAATGGAAAGCGAACGCTGCCCATAGACATCCACAATTGCAGATGCGTTGCCTACCCTTAGTTGACGGAAGAGACGCACATAAAGAGGACATTTCCCCTTCCTATGCCTCTCCTGCACCGTCAAATCTACTTTTCCTTCCTATCCTTTCCTCTTAAGAAAAGGGTGGAAAGGGAAAGGGATTAAAATTAGGACTCCGGCACCACACTCATCTGACGAAACGCGGAATTGGTTCCACTTCACGCCTGTTTTCTGTGTGGTCGTGGTATTACACCGGGCGAGTCGGCCCATTCGTACGAAGATACTAAAGCGGGCTCTACCACTGTCAAACATAGGGTAAAGTCGAGTAAATATTGATTTGCAGTAAAGTCGAGTAAACATTAATTTACAGTAAGATACAGTAAAGTCGAGTAAACATTAATTTACAGTAAGATATAGTAAAGTCGAGTAAACATTCATTTACAGTAAGATATAGTAAAGTCGAGTAAACATTAATTTACAGTAAGATACAGTAAGGTCGAGTAAACATTAATTTACAGTAAGATACAGTAAAGTCGAGTAAACATTAATTTACAGTAAGATATAGTAAA